ACACTGAAGTTACTGACATAAGTCAGAAGGACTTCAGCCAGAAAAGAAATACATAAAATCTGGTAGCTAAAATGATTCTTTTGATGCTTGGCCACACGAGAGTCTGAATCCGTGGGCCTCATCCCGGCACATTGCCCAAAACCTGAGACCGCTACCTGAAGCTCTGCCAGAGACCAGACCTGAGCCTCACCTGAGACCTGATCGAGGACCTCAGCCTGAGAGCCAGAGACTGACGGGAGTCTGCCACGACCAGACGTGATCAGAACCTGCAAGAGACAGCTCCTCAGCCGGGAGAGTGCACCGATCACGGCGGACTAGAGAACCTCTCCACACGGAGTGCCTGAAGGCTTAACCTCTGGAAGGTACTCCAAGAGACTTTGGGACTCTTAACTGCTAGAGGACCGGGTTTCCCTTTGAGTGTTTGTATTGATGTGTGTTTGTTATGCTTTGACCTAGTAAACACATAATGCAATCAAACAGTCATGTGTGAGAATCTCTTCTGTCCGTTGCGCCTGTCCTAAGCTCTCCCGAGAAGCAGTGACACATTTTGGATGTCACACTCAAGCCAGTGGCTTGAGACACATTCAGGACAGTTACTATCAAGTAACTGCTCCCATTCAGGACAATTTTTTATTAACCTATAAACTCTTCTTTCATAAAACTTAAAATAAGCCTTGGATTCTTTGCCATTTTATTTATTTTCAATTTTTATTTTTATTTTAGGTGTATGAATATTTTACCCTCATGTATATAGGTATAGTGCCTGTGAAGGCTAGAAGAGGATGTTGGATCCCCTGGAACTGGAGTTACAGACTACTAGCTGTCTGGGTGCTGGGAACTGAACCTGGGTTCTCTGCAGGAGCAGCAATGCTCTTAGCTGCTGAACCATCTCTCCAAGCCCCACCATTTTTCCTTTTTTATGTTTGTTGGTTTTTACAACAACAAAAACCCCTATAGCATAAAGAAGTATTCAAAGAATGAAAAGAAAGCTGATTTAAAATTCAGATTTCCCTGTAATATCCTAATTTTAAAGATAAGGAAATCGAGGCACAAAGAAGTTAACCTGTCTTGGGTCTGTAGAGCTGGAAAAGTAATAATATATCCCTTCGTATAGTGAGACTGGAAATTGTATTATCCTGTAAGACGTTTTTTGTAAAGTATTTCATGGAGGACTTGAGTTTTTCATCTTTAAGTAAATAGAAATTTGGGCCATGGTAATAGCTTATTCCAGGAGTGTTAGATATTAGAGTAAAAATTTGAAAGTCATAAAAATGTCCAACACTAGAGGAAATTTAAATTATAGCATATCTTACAGACTGTACGATAGGAATTAAAAGTGTTTTCCCAGTGTTTATGAGGAGAATGAGAACATAAATCTGATGGAAAATTTTGGAAGATTGTCAGTTTTAAAATAAACTTTTCTGGGAGTATGTGGATGAGTTAGTATAGGTGCATGTGCAGAGGTTGACAGACCCTAGTGTCAGTGCTCCCCTTCCCCTGAGACAGGGTCTTTCTGTTCACAGTTGGCTAGGCAAGGCTAGCTGGCTCTCAAACTTGCAGGGATTCTGTTATCTCCACCTCCCATCTCACTTTTGGGGAGTTGGGATGACAGATATACCCAGCTTTGCATGAGTTCTGGAGATTCAAGCTCAAGTCCTCACATTTGCACAATAAGCACTTCTACCCACTGAGCCATCTCTCCAACCCCAGTTTTTATTTCTTTTATTTTTATGATTATTATTATTTTTGTTTGGGCCTTTTTGAGACACTGTATCCCTGTAGCCCCAGTGGGCCTGGAACTCGCTGTGTAGACCAGGCCGGCATGTGCCACCCTGCCTGGAAGCCCCTGTTTTTTAAAAAAAAATTTAATACAGGGGCTGGAGCGATGGCTCAGCAGTTAAGAGCACTGACTGCTCTTGCAGAGGACCCGAGTTTGATTCCCAGCATCCATATGGTGGCTATGAACCGTCCTTAACCCCAGTTCCAGGGGAATCCAAAGCCCTCTTCTGACCTCCGCAGCATTGCACAACACGGGTGCACTCACATACACACAGGCAATACACTCATACACATAAAATAAAAATAATAAATAAAATATTTTTTAAAATGTAATACATATATCAACAGTTTGATGCTACTAGTTCTGTTAGAAATTTATCTGGTGAATATTTTTTTACAAATGGAATATGGTAAGATTAGAAGTTAAAAAGAATATCCTAGGGCTGAAGACATGGCTCAGTAACTAAGAACATTTGTCTCTGAATTTCCCAGACCCAAGTGACACATCTACAATGCAACCTCTACACCTAAGGCGCACAGAACATAGAACAGGCATAAAGAAGATAACAACTAATGAATCTCTCAATTCTCATTAATGAAGATTCCTTATACAACAGAGAATCAGGAACACAAAAGGTCACAAATGGCCAAAACAGAGATTGAGTCTGCAGAATGCTGGTCCTTGAATAGGACTCCTATATTAAACTTCACCCACCCAGGGCTCAGGGACCATTGCAGAAGAGAGGGTGGAAAGATTGTAAGAGCCAGGGGAGGAGGTGCCTGACCACAGGGAAACAGAGTCCCACAAGCTCCTGGGAACCTGCTCATATGATTCTATGGCAATGGTGTCAGCATACACAAGTCCCATGCAAACTCAGGCAGACAAAAATTCTGCACAGAACTGGGGAAATGAACAGCAGACCCCAATCTTAGCTGAAGAAATATTGGCAACTGATTACTGCTAGGTGAGGAAGAACTGATCTTCCTAAAACGAGAGACTCTAGATAGATTAACTAGACCTCAGTGGATGGACTTGTATTGAGGGACGTCTGGGAACACTGACTTGACACAGTGGGGGTTCCAGTGGGGAGGTTATGGGAGGGTGCTGGTGGGGATAGGGGTATAAAGATGATTAAGATTGTTTGAGATGTTCTGTATGAAATACTCAAAAATTCAATAAAAACAAGTTTTTAAAAAATCTAGTATCTTCTTTTCTTATAGTAAATCTGTCTTCCACAATTTCAAGTACTTAAATTTATTTTCCAGGGCTGGAAAGATGGCTCAGCAGTTAAGAGCACTGGCTGTTCTTGCAGAAGACCAGGGTTTGATTCCCAGCACCCACGTGGCAGCTACCAACTGTCCAAAACTCCAGTTCCCGGGGATCCAATGACCTCTTCTGTCTTCCGCTTACATACATGTAGTCATAACACTTGTACACATAAAATAAAAATAAATTTAAAGAAATTTATTTTCTGCTAGGTACGGTGGTGCCTTCTTTTAATCCCAGCACTCGGGAGGCAGAGGCAGGCAGATTTCCATGAGTTCAAGGCCAGCCTGGAACACAGTGAGTTCCAGACCAGTTGGAGCTCCAGGTAAACCCTGTCTCCAAAAAGACAAAAAGAAAAAAAAAGTGTTACAGTTGAGCAATAATGTTATCTGCAATTTTTATTTTTATGGGCAAGAATGCCTATAAATTAGGGAAGACAAGTAATGTTAACAAAGACCCATGGTGCCACTTTTCAGCAAAAAATTCATTAAAAGAAAACAGAGACGCACATAATTTTCATGAAGAAAATATACCTGTTTTAAGTGGGCATATTAGTGTCTTAGAATTCAGAACAGACATAGGGTGCATAGCACAGGATGAAGTGAATCTCAGGTTTGTTAGTTTGTGTTGCAAACTTATTTATGAGCTCTGAAGTAAAATATCAACCACTTTGACTGTTTTCAGTGGGGTACTGCTATGAAAAGGGTTGTTTTTCAGGGGCTATTCTTTATAGTTTAGAATTTACCTTTACTTATTAAGTTGTGAAATGAATTTACACCGTAGACTCCAAGTTCGGCTGCTAATGGGAAGTACACTTTCTGGTGACTGTTGATAGAATGTGAAAAATGGCATGTTGATCATACTGCTAGTTTCCCTGATACTCATTCTGTTGGGGACTTCTCTATTTTAAAAATATGTTTATTATTATTCTTTAATTATGTGTATATGTGTGTGTGTCTGGGTTTGTGCACAGGAACACAGAGCTGGAGTTACAGACCAGTGTGAGCTGTTTGACGTGGGTGCTGGGACTTGAACTCAGGTCCTAGAAAAGCAGTACATGCTTATATTCATTACTTTTCTGTTGCTGTGATAGAAACACCATGACCAAAGGAACTTATAAAGGAAGTTTATTTAGCATATGGTTCCAAATGGGCAAGAGTCCATCATGGTGGGGAGGCATGGTGGTAGAGGTGGCTGGAGTAGGAGCAAAAGCTAAGCTCTCACATCTTCAAGCAGGCACTGGAAGCAGAGCACAGCTGGAGATCTGGCAAGGCTTAAGGTCTCTGTAAGGCAGCCTGCAGTGATGTGCTTCCTCCAGCATGGCCACACCTTCTAAGACCTCCCCAGACAGCAGCACCAACTAGGGACAAAATGCTCAAATACTTGGGCACCTATGGGGGACATTCTCATTCAAACCACCACAATGCTCTTAACCACGGAGCCATCTCTCCAGCCTCCCTGTTGGGGACTTCTAAGTGTGGCAGCTGTAACCGTTGTTTACCACAAAGCTGCCCGGGTTCTGCCCTGCCAGAGGAAGAGTAGGGCTAAAAAGAAGCAGCTCTCCATAATTTCTTGGTGCTTTTTCTGTCCTTGTCGTTCTATGAAAAAATCATGTGGACTTCTTCCTGCCTACCCTCCCTCTCCCTGATTTTGCCCTTTGTCTACCAATTTGATTACCCTAATCTATTCAGTTAGTTCTGAAGAACAAAAAATCCAATTTAATCTTAAGGTGAAAATATATGTGTGTTTGGGGTGAATTCCTTGACCACCCAAATGACAGCTGCTAACTGTAGGTGTCAGAACTCAGGGTTATACAATGTCACCAAGTTTGCTGAGAGTCTTCCTGGTGTGGTTCCCACAAGCAAGAAGAATGGGGAAGCTCTGCTTTCAGCCTTAGTTTTTCAAAGGAAATGGGAGGCTACCAGAGGGTCTAGGGGCTTTGTTCTAAGGCTAACTCACAAGGGAGGGTGGCATGGTATCTCAGCCCTACAGCTTCCTTGACTCTGTGGTTCAGAGCAAGCTCTGCCACTAGTAGGCACTGTTCTGGTGGTCAGTCTGTTCTCAAGAGCTCCTGGCCAAACAGCAGGTGTCAGCAGCATGGGTGGTGTGGGAAGCCCATTTATTGCTTCTACCTACTTCAACAAGGGATGTGCTCTGTTCAGTCACCAGTTAGAGTTTCATGCATTTTTTGGTTCAGCTCTCTGATCTCAGCAGGAATGACTAGAAGATGTGGGAGGTGTCTATGAAGCCTGGGTACCGGTATAGCTCCAGGCTATGTGGGCCCTTCTCCTCCTCCTCAAAGCCAGGCTTCTCACCCCTCCTCTGGCCACTAAGGTGGTGATCTTCCAAGGCTCCCATCTACCCTTCCTTTCCATGTACTTCTTTCTGCCAATACTGCTGAAACCATCTCTCTTACCTTTACTTCTTAGAGAAGGTTCTCATTTACTCAAACTGCCATCTGTATGGTTCTTGACTTATGATAACCTCCCAGAATTACTTAAAAACAAGTGCTTCCTACATCAGAATCTACACATGGAAGGGGAAACAAAGAGCAGGCATTTACCAACTGAAATCATGAACCAAATGGGGATTGGGCAAATTGTACCATTGTTCTGAAATATTTTGCAGTACTAGGATGATATGGTTTGGGATTTCAGACAGAGGGTTGCTTTTTTTTTTTTTGTCTTTTTTTTTTTGAGGCAGGGTCTCCCTGCAGTCCCAGTTGACCTGAATTCACTATGTAGACCAGGCTGGCCTTGAACTCAGTGATCCGCCTGACTCTGCCTCCCAAGTCTGGGACTAAAGTTGTACGCCACCACGCCTGGCTCAGACAGAGGTTTTTAACTATAGTGGCCATGAAGACCCAGTACACATAATATCTAGCTCATTCTTTTTCATTAATATTGACTTGTTGCTGTATTAAACAGATAGTAATATAGGCAAATGCTTAAGATCCCTACTACATCCTAAACTAGTATTCAATGGGTGTGTGTTGTAATTAGTATCACCATCCCTACTTAGTTTATAAAGACAATGACTTGGTGACATTACCAAATCTACACAATTGCATGATAATATTCTGAATTAATGCTGCTCTGTCATCAAGCTAACTTCGAAATTCTTTTAGATCACAAACTTTTATTATTCTTTACTCTTTTTTTTTTGAGACACAGTCTCTCTATAGCCCCAGCTGGCCTGAAATTTGCTGTGTAGACCCAGTTGGCCTCCATCTCACAGAGATCCGCCTGCCTCTGCCTCCCAAGTGCTGGGATCAAAGGTGTGTGCCACCTTGCGTGGCTTAATTTCTATTATTCTATATACCTTCTGCCCAATAGTTTTTCTTTACCTTCGTGGTAAATTTTAGATCTTTTTATTCTTTTCTTGCAGTGATGGAGATTAAACATAGGGCCTTGCGCATGCTGAGCCCATGATCTACTATTGCCCTGTGTTCACAGCCCTCATTTTACTTTATATTTTGAGACAAGGTCTCACTAAGCTCCCAGGGATACCCTGGAAAGCACCCTTTAGCTCAGACAGGCCCTGAACTTGTGATCTGTCTGCCTCAGCTTCCTGAGTAGCTAGGATTACAGGCCTGCAGCACCAGGCCCAGCACTTCACTTTTAATGCTTATATGCTTACATATACAACCCTTACATTCATTTACCTCTTTAGTCTAGACCTCATGGATATGCAAGGTAAGCAAGGGCCACTAGGTGGCAACACAGTCTGATGTCCAAGTTAGGCAAAGTGTTGATATTTGAAATGGAGCCTCAAGTGTGAAAGGGAAGACAATGGAAATAAAGGAAATAAATAGTAAGAAGCTGGGCTTGAGAGCTGGAGACGTGACTCAGCAATTAAGAACTGGCTGTTCTTGCAGAGGACCCTGATTTGGTTCCCAGCACCCATGTGGCAGCTCACACCTGTCTGTAACACCAGTACCAGAGGATCCAACCCTCTCTTCAGGTATCTGGGCACTACACACATGTGGGGCACTTACATACATGAAGGCAAAAGACTCATACATATGAAAGTAATTTTTTAAAAGCTGGGCATGCTGGAGATGGTACCATATACTTTAGTAGCAGTACTGAAGGGAAAAAGCAGAAAGATCTCTGAAACTTCAAGACCAGTTGAGTCTACATCGAGAATTACAGGCCAGTCAGCCCAAGCAGTAAGACCTGGCTCAAAGTAACAAAAGAAAAGAGAGATGAAAACAGGTTATAGTGCATGTGCTTATAGTCCTGGCACTTGGACAGGGGTGATGGGTAGATAGGTTCATAGAGGGCTTGAGCCAGGAGTTTGAAACTAGCCTGGGGGCAACAGTAAGACCCCTGTCTACCAAACAAGAAAAAATAAGAATGTGAGACAGAAGAGACCCCCCTTTGAGTGCTTGGTGAGAGTGGTCCAGGAGACTCCAGGAATAACACAGGCTATTGCCAAACCTTTAGGTTATCTCCCAGAACTGCTAGATAAGACCCCACTGCTGAAGACAGGATATAGTTTGGATAGAGGACTTGGAGAAAAGGAGCAGGAACTGACCTGGAGGCCTTCTACACAAAGTTTAGCTATCATGATGCTAGATGGTAAAATGCAAACTGCCAAGGGAGAAAAACAATCAGTGGTCCAACCCAGTCATAAACCCTAATAACCATAATGACCGGCATGGCAAACTACCTCTATTGGTGTGCTAGTGGCACTGTTTATCTGGGAGGCAATCAACAGCTATCTCATTGGACTTAAAGCCCTCTCAATGAGTGTGAAATTATGGGTGGCACTATAAACTCAGCCAAATGTACACGGCAGGAGAGGACATAGATCCTAGAGAAAACTGTATCTCTCTCATATCTCTAGACAAATGAAATTTCTTACCATATAAATTTTTATATCTACAGACAAGCATAACATATACCACTCATCAAAGAAGCTTCTTTTTGCAAACAGATGGAGGATACTACAGAATCCCACAACTGGTCAGACACAGAGAATATATGTCTGAGAGATGCCAAGTACTAGATAACACAAGCACAAGTGAACCTCTACAACTAAGGCTCATGGAACACAGCGGAACAAGGGGCAATGAGAAAACTAATGCATCCCCCGATTCTTACGCATAAAGCTCCCTTATAAAACAGTGTGGTGCACACAGAAAGCCACAACTGGCCTGGTTTTAAAGTACAAGAGACTGCAGAGTCCCATGGATGGTACTCACCCACCCACAGCTGAGGGGCCATTGTGGAAGAGGGACCAGAAAGACTGTAAGAACCAGGGCCAATTCATGAACACAGGGAAGCAGAGGCTTTTAGACCACTGGAAGCTTGCATATGTGAACTTGTAGCAATGCTGGCACAGGACCCATGCCAATTCAATTAAACAGGGGCCCAGAGGGGAGGAGAGAAATGGGTGGTGGGCCAGCTCTAGACTAAGAATATTGAGGGATTGATTGGTGCTGGATGAGGGAGAGTATGCCTTACATACAATCTCCAGATGGGCTGACTAGATTCCAGTGAACGAATTTAAACTGAAAGACATCTGGGTACAAATGCTTGAATAGATGGGACTTAACGTGTACAGTGAAATACATGAGGTCCAGTGGGGGGATGGAGAGGTGTGAACCGGGGAGGGGGGTCTAAATTTGATTAGGAGCTGTTGAATGAAATTACAAAAGCTCGATAAATATTTTAGAAAAGAATATGCGTCTATCTGAGAGAGAGAGAGAGAGAGAGAGAGAGGAGAGAGAGAGAGAGAGAGAGAAACAAGGTCATGAGACTGAGGAGATCAGTGACTGAGGACAGGAACTTGAGCCCCATCAAATGAGAACCACTGAAGTAGCTACGTCCAGGCAATGGGTAGTGACGGTGCTCTCAGGTACATTGCCCGCGACCATCCATGCCTACCTGTGATGATGCTGTTCCCTCTGCTTTGACGCATTTCCTGCCCAATGACCCTGAAGGCTTTTCTTTTCATTTCGTTAGACACCGAGTTTAGGACTGTTAATTTGTCCTAATGTCACTGAAGTAAAAATCATGATAAAACATTGTTTCACAACCCCCAGCACAAACAGCAACAACAACAGCAAACTTTGTAGGAAAAAAAATGGTTTTGTGCATGGGATGAAACAATATAAATTCAAAACTTACGTATAAGGATTAGCTCTGTCACTCATCTTTTATAAAGTTTCTAGGAACATTCAGTCAAAACCTGCTAGCAGAGTACAGGGTACCTCTCTTAAAATGTCCTATATGGATTCCAAAAGACCATAGGATTATATGCTCTCCTGGGATGTCCGAGAAGGCTGTCATTAAACAGGTAACAGTAAACACCCCAAAGACCTTTCACAAAGAGTAAGGAAAGACAGAAGAGGCAGAAGAAATTATTCAAATTTTGTCTTTTTCCCTTGTGGCTTGAAGTTTCCTCCTCTGCCTCCTAGGAAGCCTCCTTGACCTTCAAAGCCTCCCTGGGCTCTGCCACCAAATCTACCTCTTCCTCTTCTGCCCGTCTCAGTCACCAAAGCATCCTCTGCCTCCCCCAAGGCCACTGAAATCACCCTCAGGCTTGGGCTTGACCCAGCCCAAGGTAACTTTGTTTCTATCAATTTCATCATCATCCAGGGCATCCTTGGCCGCTTTGGCATCTTTCTAACTATAAAACCTGCAAAATGAAATCCTTTAGAGGACCCAGTTTTCGATCAGTGACTATTGTTGCGTGAACAGAGCCCTCAAATGATTCTTTCAGGGTCTCTTCAGTGGTACCCTCAGACAGATCCTTGACAGAGTTTTAGATGACTGGCTTCTTGTGTTAGGTAATCCCCTGGGTCTAGCCTTGTCATGCCCTTAATTTCCAACTTTATCACAAGACTTTAATGCTTCTTTAGCATCCTAAAATGAGGCAAATTCTGTGAACAAATACTCTTTAGGTTTGCCATTTGGGTTCTGGAGCTCTTGATAAAAGTTGCCTTCAAATATTACCTGAAGAGTTTCTTTCTTCTTCTTTTTTTTTTTTTTTTTCAAGCAGGGTCTCCCTGTAGCCCAGCTGGCATGGAACTCACTATATAGACCAGGCTGTCCTTGAACTCACAGAGATACACCTGCTTCTGCCTCCCAAGTGCTGGGGCTAAAGACTTGCGCCACCACCCCTGGCTTGAGACCGTAGGTAGTTACCTAAAACCAAATTTTTTGAGTCACCAGTTCAAGTGCTGTCCTTTCTAGATATCTCTTGCTTTGACTTTTCTCTTCAATGGAGTGGAGTGAAATGGGTAGCCCATCAATTTCTGCCCCCCAATTTTCTTCAAAGATTTTTCTCTATATTAGCTTTTGTCTTAAATTCAGTGTAAGCAGCTCCTCTACCTTTCCCATCTAATCTCTGTGGTATCTTCAAGCACTTTGTTGTTGTTGTTGTTTTTGTTGTTGTTGTTGTTGTTATTGTTGTTATTGTTGTCTCTCTGTAGCCCCAGCTGGCCTGAAACTTGCTATGTAGACTAGGCTGGGCTCAAGTTCTGGGATTAAAGGCATGTGCCACCACATCCAGTTTCCAAACACTTTTTAATTCATCTTGAGTGACACTGAAGGAGAGGATTTTGACCAAAAGTGGTCAGACTTTCTTAGTGTCTCTTCCTTTTGATTTTTAGAGTTTAGTTTCATTGCCTAACACTTTTAAATCATTGAGTTCCAAGGCTTTAAAATTTACTTATTTATTTCTCATGTGTATGAGTGTTTTACCTGCATATTTTTAAGGACACTCATGCATGCAATGAGTGCAGAGACCAGAAGAGGGTGACAGATCCCCTGGAACTGGAGTTACGAATGGTTGTTAGTTGCCATGTGGGTGCTAAGAATCAAACTATTGGTCCTCTGCAAGAGCAGCCAATGCTTTTAACTACAGAGCCATCTCTCCAGACCCCAAGGCTTTTTAAAGTAGGTTTTCAGCAGGCTCAAAACCCATACAACTTAATTTCTCATTTGTACTGGTTCTAACATCACAGCAGCAAGATCATTTTTAGCTAAAAGTTCACCAATGGCACCTTTTAATTCAGCAACATTATTTGCTAGGATTTAGGCTTCTCATAAGCAGGTTGAAAGGTGTTGCTGGTTCTTAACCTTCCACCATCTGTTCCTAGATTTCAGGAGCCTCTTTGTGTTTGGTCATTTCCTTCTTTTCTTTTCCAGGTGCTTTTTTTTCATTTGCTGCTTCCACTTCTGCTTCCTCTTCCTCCTCCTCCTCCCCCTCCTCCTCCCTCCCCCCTCTTCCTCCTCCCCCCTCCTCCTCCCTCCCTTCTTCCTCCTCCTCTTCCTCTTCTTCCTCCTCCTCGCCTTCTTCCTGCTCCTTCTCCGCCCTTCTCTCCTCCCTCCCCCTCCCCTCCCCCCCTCCTCTTCTTCAGCATCATCTTCCTCCACTTCCTCTTCATAATGTGTCCCTCGGGACACAACAGGGTAAAGCAAAAGTCAGCTAGAACGTTTGGAGTTAGTTTTGCCATTTCATAAACATCCACTGTTTCACTGAGGGGATCATCGTTACCATGACTGCCAAGAAGGTGCCTTTCCGACCCTGTCATCTCTTCTTAGGTTAGGTGACAATATGCTTGAGGAAAGGTTTTCTTTTCTCAATTTTTCATTTCACTGTTTTCACCAATTCCATTTTCAGAAGGATTTTTGTCCACTAATGCCATTATTAACTTGTTGCTCTATGTAAGCCGGCTTCTGTGTCCTTTAGTAGGGCCCCATGGTTTCCTGAGTGCTCCCTTACTTCCCGGTTTAAAAAGTGTTCAAGGTCATCTTTCTCAGCCTTCCGCATGAGAGCAGTGATTTGCTCGTGTAACTCTAGTTTCTCGTCTTCTTTACTCTTCCTGCTCCTCCTCCTCACAGCCCTCCCTCTCTCCTTTAATTTTTTTTTTTTTTTGAGATAAGGGCTCACACTGTGGCCTCAAGTGGCCTAGAACTTACTACATACTCCAAAATTGCCTCAAAATCATAGAAATCCTCCTGCGTTAGCCCCCAAACACTGTAGTTTCTTTTAATAAAAAAATAGTCCATATATCTATAGTTACACAAATATTTATGTATTTCTATACCAATCTATTAAAACTCAAGAGTTAATACTAATTCTTGTCTATTTTGAAAGGGTTTATTCTAATTTTTTTACTTTTTAATAGTTGTGATCTTTTCATTTTAATGGCTTGAGGCTGGCTACATAATATAAATAATCATGTGGAAAATGAAAATGCAAGGCCTTGTCAAAGCAGCAGAGCTAAAAACAGTGCATTAAAGGTATTAAAGTACCAGGCATGGTGGTATTATGCATTAGATATTCACAAAATATATCGCATTATCTTTAAAATAAGCAAGAACACTGGCTATAGTCAGAGATATGATAAAGGAAATTATCGACCTAGAAATGCATCTAATGTAGTGGCGATTGTGAGCAATTCCCTTCCTATGTTGTTTTTCTTTTCATTTTCAAAGTCTACACCAAGAATTATTTGGGATTTTGCTCCACCCCCATTTAATTTCCATGAAAACAATCTCCAATTATTTTACTTGAATCATTGATGTTTATTCCAGCTTATGTAAAGTGTCAAGTAAATATACCTTGCAGTCACCAAGCCTTCTACCCACCATGCTTTTAAATGATACCAGGCATGGTGGCACACTCCTTTAATCCCAGCACTCAGGAGGCAGAGGCAGGGGGATCTCTGAGACTGAGGTCAGCCTGGTCTGCATAGTGAGTTCCAGGCTATCTGAGGCTACTGGGAAACTGTCTCAAAAACAAAACAAGGGTATTGAAGCATAAAGCTTTCTCCATTTTGCTGTGGTCTCTCATGTTGTTATTGTAGTTTTTGTTGTCTCTTCAATACCATTTTAAATGAAGAAAATTTGACTTGTTTAATCATTAGTATGCTTTTATTGTTGTACAAAGCAAGGTTTAAAAATAAATAAAATTTAACTTATATGTAGAATCACACACTATAGAACTCATATTTTGGATCTTGTACCTACAAATAAATGTTGTTCTTGCTAGAACAGAGGAAACACTGAACAAAATTGACACTTTTTAAAAATTTCTAAAATTTATTTATCTTTATTTTGTATGTATCAGAGTTTTAACTGTATGTATGTAAGTACACCTGTATGTACAATGCTCACAGGGGCCAGAAGAGGATGTCAGGTCCCCTGGAACTGGAGTTAAGTGAAATGCTCAAATGGACTCCATTTTATTCTAGCTGACTCTTGCTTCATCGTGTGTTTCTGCCCAGCCACTTCCCCTGCTTCCACTAACCACACCCACCCAAGCAGAATGGCCCCATGAAGGCTGAACCTGCAGTTTCAGAGCGCGCATCCTTTCTATGATACTGGGAAACTTGTATCCAGCCAGGCAGAAGTTCTCTTCCAGCTATACCTGCAGTTCTAGGGAGCCATTGTTTCTGCAATTCTCAGAAACCTTTTTCCTAACTGAAACTTAGAAAATTTTTGTTAACTGACCTGCCACTGGTATGATGTAACCATGGTTATTGACTTTGCCCCTCTTGGCACAATTTAATTGTGATTTTAAGTTTTATACTCCCTAATCTGCTTCTCCTCTGGGTGAAGGGTTCTTTCGGCAATAACCTACTCTTGACCATTGGCTAATAAATGGACTCTTAAACATCAGTGTGTTGCTGTGAGGTATTTAACCAGAGAAGACCACTCAAACACAGAAAATTGTCAAAAAGCCTTTATAGCTGCCAGTGATTACACTGGGAATTCAGGTCCCAAGTGCAGCCCTGAGCTGTTCTTAGGGTAAGCTTTTATACAGAAGAGCCATATCCAGGGGTAAAAAAGTTAAGTTCCTAAGCTAAGCCAAACGGGAAGTACAGAAGTCATAAATCTGTTGTTGGCAGGAGGAACCAGGTGTTGAAAATGCCAACCTGTTCTCAAACCCATACCTTGGTGCAGCTGGGTCAAACTTTTCCATCCCCACATTTTGAGTTAACT